GTGGACGACCACCTCGGAGAAACTGTACTACACCCCTACGACCTGCAGCCAGACTAGCGGCGCTGGGATTGCTCACTGGTCCATTCCATCCCTGGTTGGATGTGGCTCCAGCTCCCGGATCCTCCTGCTGGCGCGCGCTCTGAGGAGAAACCTGGGAGGCACCTGCCTGGCGGAGCAAACTGCCGCGCGAAGAAGTCGTAGGAGCAGGCTGGAGGGAGAGGACAAGTGGGGCCGCAGCATAAGGTGACTCTGGAGAAGTTGGAAGTCCGGAGGACAGAGGCCTGGGAGTTGCCAGTTCTCATAAGGCCCCGGGAGGCTGAAGTTTAAGAAAGAGACCGGGCATTCAGGGAGGCGGGCACCTGGAACCCGGGAAGCAGCCTGCAGGTGTGGTCAGTGGCGTATCGGTGGCCTTACCACGACTGGGTGGGTTGGGAGTGGGGAGACTTCATTGCTCTTGTGTCAGGGATGGCTTCAAACCTCGATCCTCCTGTTCTCTGCCTCCTGAGTAGCTAGGATTACAGATGTGAGCCACCGGCACCCAGCTTATCTTTATTACTTTCTGTATCTTTGTGACTGTTAACGTAAAACTTTTGAAACGCACTGCTATATTGTTGAACGTAGCAGACCACTATCTCCCACCAGCTCTAAAACTAAGAATGTAATAACATCTGAAAACTATAGGGGATTCCCCCTCCCACTCTGTGTATCCTGATGCTCCCACCAATGTATTTGGAAAATGCATTGATTTATGACTTTTATTCTGACTTTAAAAGTTCATGTAGTCTCTTCCACAGTGGGACATGTCATTTGGAATGCTCTGAATCTGTGATCCTGGGCCATGCTCATATTTGGTTCAGAATAAACCATCTCTTACTCCCTTTGGAGCAAGAGCTGTGTCTTTCACCAACGGAAGAGAGGAATGTGGTTGTTCTAAGGACATATTATCAGGAACAGGGAGGTAGAACCTTGATCTGGACAGAAACAAAGCACCTCATACTGGGCAGTTCAGACAGCAGACATTTATTACTTCAGTCCTGAAAGCTGGAAGTCCCAAGGCAAGGTGGGAGGCCTGGTTTCTCCAGAGGCCTCTCTCCTCCATGTGTCCTCACAGGGTCAATCACTTGTGTGTCTGTGTCTTGATCTTCTCTTCATAAAATGACCCCATCATATTGGATTAGGACCCCTTGTTTAACTTTGATGACCTCTTTAAAGATCCATTTCTAAATACAATCAAATTCTGAGGTGCTGGGGGGCTAGGGTTCTAACATATGAATGTTGGGAAGACACAAACCATAACACACACCCAGCAGGTGTGAGAGGGTGGGCAGGTATTATGAACTCAAACTTTGTTTTTTCCCCAAAATTCATCCATTAAAGCCCTAAACCCCCAGTAGAGCAGCATGTGGATACAGGCCTCTGTGGAAGTGATTAAGACTACAGAATTCATAGGCAGGATCAGAGGCCAGGTGTGATGGTACCCACCTGTAATCTCAGCTACAAAAGGGGTGGAGATCAGGAGAATCACTGTTGGAGGCTAGCAAGAGCAACATTTATCAAGATCCCATCTCAACAAACAAGCTAGGTGTGGTGGTGCCACAGTTTCTCAACTTGAGACACATTCAGCAACCCACTAACACCTCCATGCCCATGGCCCATAGAGAGTAAGGAAGATACTGGTACTGAACCTGGAGCTTTGGTCCTGCCCACACCCCTCTTCCCTTTCCTGATTTTAGTCCATATCCATATCCACTGGCTGTAGTAGAGCAGCGGGGGTACTGGGCGGGGGGCTAGTTTATTGACTCCCAAGGATGGAGCGGCTGGGTGCTCCCAAGCTGCACTCACACCGTGTACTCACACTGCCCCTCTTCCAGCAGACTCTTCTGCCTCACCCCTTCACTCCTCAGACACCCATCTCTGGTGCCTACCAAGCTTGTCTTGATTAGGGATCTTTTAACTCACTGTCCCTCTGCCATCACCTCATATCCACAACCTTCTCATCACTTAAGTCTCTGTTTGAATGTTGCTTCCTTTGCAAGGACTTCCTGACAGTCCAGCCCCACTCCCTAGGCCCCATCTCCTTGGTTCATTTTCTTCCCGGCACTAACTACCACCTGTATTGTCTTGTTGCTTTATTTGCTTTCTTGTTCAGTATTGTTTTTCCCTCTAGAATAGATTATTCTTGGGGTCAGGAAAGTGCCTGAATTGCTTGTTCCTTCATTCCTAGAAATAACAAAATCTCAAGAAACAGATCAAGAATAGGCAAGCCATGCAACCTCCTGCTCCCACCCTCTTTTCTCCAGGAGCCTCCATGCAGCCAGCAGTGTCCAAGAGGAAATCTTTCCATTGTTCACCAATGACAGGATAACATCCTCACTTAGCCCATCTAAGTTAGTTGCCTATTGCTGTGAACCAGTTTTCCTCACAGGGAAGTTCTAAATTAACTCTTTTCCCTCTGAAGCTCTGATGTTTTTAGTCTATGAAATAAACTTGCAATAGACTAACAGGGAAAAGAACACACTCATCTGCTAGGTGCCCAAGCACAGGAGTCACACATTGAGGAAGAGACTCAAAAGGGAAGGGTGACTGAGCTTTGTGTAGAGTCAAGTGAAGGACGTCGATGGATGTAAACCTGTTGTGGCTGCTGAGGTCTGTGGTCTCTGAAAAGCCATTTTGAGACCGGGTGCCAGAGGCCCACACCTGTAATTCTAGCTACTCAGGAGGCAGAAATCAGGAGGTTCGAGGTTTGAAGCCATCCCTGGGCAAATAGTTTGTAAGACTCTATCTCAAAAATACCCAATACAAAAAGGAACAACGGAGTGGCTCAAGTGGTAGAGCTCCTGCCTCACAAGCATGAAACCCTAACTTCAAACCCCAGTCCCATGGAAAAAAAAGAAAAAAGAAATGTGTTTGGGGCAGCATGTTTTAGGGCTCCATACCCCAAAACTTAAAATAATAAGCATTTGTTATCACACAGCTGCTATGGATGGGAACTCAAAGTGTGGTGTAACTGACTGTCCCAGGCTCACAACTGTCCTAGATTTCTGTCCAGGTCTCTGTTGGCCAAGATTATAGCCTTACCCAAATGCTGGACAAGTAGTTTTACTTCTAAGCTCTCCTGTATATACGGACAAGCCTGACCCTGATCACTGGGGCCTCTTCATGGGCTGCCTTGAAGCATAGTGACTGGCTTACCTCAGAGTGAGAGTAAACCAACATAGTTCTTACAATGTCAAAGACAAGGTTAACTACTCGGCTGGGGAGAGGACTGAGCAAGAGCCAGAGGTCAGGTCTAAGGAGAGAGAGAGAACCTGAGCCTTTTTCCTAGGCCCACAAGAATGGAACCAGCCACCAGAGGGCTCATCAGCCAAGCTGGCCAAGTGACCTGGTCAAAAGAGCTTGGATCTGGGGCCCTAACCCTAGGGAGACAGATGTGGTTATGGTTTGAACACTGCAGCCTGTCTCTCTTCTCACTTTAATGTCACCTGAAAGAGTCCAGCCAGAAGGCTGAAAGTAATTGGACTAAGCACAGCAGCAGGAAACTCAGAGGCGCACAGGAGGCACAAGTGAGCAACGTGCCAGATCCAGTCTGAACACCAGCCTCGGGTTCAGAAGTAAGTCTTCCTACCCCTCAAATCCTGGATGGCCTGTGTCCAGACCCTACTTTGAGGCCCAGTGGAGAACACAACACAGTGGAAGAGGCTAGGGCCTTCATAGGGCACCAGCACAGGCCTTTAGGAGCCACGGGCCCAACCCCCGCCACCACCACCATCACCACCCTCCTGTAGAGGAAATGTCTCCACACTACATCCTTACTTCGGCTCACCCTGGGTGCTCGTCCCCCATACTGCCTGCTAGTGGATGTCTCCTCCATCTCCATCCCTTCCTGGATGTGCTGCTCTCAAACAGTTGGAGGTTGGCCGCCCCTTTCCAAAGCAGACACCTGCCACAGGCCAGCACAGCACACCACACCAGGGGGCGCTGCTGCTCCTCAAAGCCCACTCCACCTTTCCCAGTCCTGTAGCCTGCCAAGGCCAGCATATATGGATGTTGAGAGTGAGCAAACAAGAAGCTTCAGGAAGAAGACAAACATTGTAACAAAGTGCTGGAGGTTTCCCTGAACCTCAAATTCCAGAAAAGAAACTCATGTGACAAAGATGTCTGTAAAATTTGATCCTGACATCTACCCCAGACCTCTTCCCCCAGAACTTGCATGGGCTGCCCCAAGATGCACTTTGCAGATCTGTCCGTTTGCCCATCTGGGGACCAGCCTCATTCCCATGACCCAGCTCTGTAGGAACAGCAGCGGTGGAGGAAGAGCAGGCTTTGGTATGTACTGTGTTCAACAGTACACAGCCTCCCAAGGCTTCCTCCAGACAGATCACCTGCCTCCCTGCAGGCTTGTTGCCCCATCCAACTAGTAAATGAGCCTTCCAGAGTCCTTGAATGATGGGGAAAACATGTAAAATAAACAAGCCAGGTACCATTCCACATCCAGTAGATGTCTATAATTTTTAAAAGAAAATAACAGGTATTGACAAGGATGTGGAGAAGTTGGAACCCTAGTGCTGGTGGAAATGTAAAATGTAATAAACGCAAGTCCTCAAACATTAAACATAGAATCACCATCTGGGCCAACAATTCCACTCCTAGGCATCTACCCCAAAAGAACTGGAATCCAGTGCTGAATAGATACTTGTGCAGGAATCTTCACAGCAGCACAACTCAGAGCAGCCAGAAAGTGGAAATGACCCAAATGCTATCAGCTAATGCATGGTAAACAAGTCTTGGTCTATCCTCACAATGAAACATTATTCATCCATAAAGGGAATGAAGTTCTGGCACCTGCTACAGCAGGGTGAACCCTGAAAACATTAAAACCAGTAAAAGAACTCAGACACAACTGGGCATGGTGGGCATGTCTGTAATCTCAGTACTTGGGATGCTGAGGCAGAAGTTCAAGGCCAGTCTGGGCTATATAGCAAGACCCTGTCTCATACCCTGTGTCTCCCCAACACCACCACCACCAAAAAAGGTAGAGAGAAAAGGGCACATGATTCCATTTAGGGATTCAGGAAAGGAACATTCATAGAGACAGACTCAAGGGAGGGACAATAGGGGTGACTGCTTAATCATGTGGGGTTGAAAATGTGTTGGAATTCACATTGTGAATCCAAAAAATAATACTGAATTGTTCACTTTAACATAATTAGTTTTATGTAAAGTGAATTTCACCTCAATAAAATTAAAGAATAAGCCAGGCCCACTGTATGTGCCTGACACTCGACTGTCCAGCTGTGCTAAGTGATAAGAGCCCAGCCATCCCTGAGACACCAACTCTGCCATCCTCATAGGCCAACATCTTCATGGCTGTGGCACACAACTCTTCCCAATTTCCACCTGCAGACCCCTTCTGCTCCTGTCCACAACTTCCTCCCACCATATCTGTCCTTGCCCAGACCCCATCTCCACCAGCCAAAGCTCCTCTGTCTCCTGCACATCATCACCCCACAGGAGACCAGTGACAGCCAACTTCTTATATCCATAACATGAATTCAATCACATGGCAGTGGCTCCTGCACCTCTCCCTTCCACCTCACTAATCATAGGTAGGACCTCCTGCTCTGCCCCACTGTCAGCATTCCTGCCTGTCCTGGCCTGATGCTGGGGCCCCTCCTTCCATCTAAAGCTGACCTTGCTTTAGGGAACCCTCCTGAAACCCTCCTGAACCTTCAGTCCCTGCCTCTAAAGCAGATCCTCAGCCCTTGAACACACTCAGTTTCTCCCCAACTGGGATCAGGGATTGATTCTCCCTGATCCTGACTTTCTTCTCCACTCTGGGTCTCTGACCTCCCAGTCAGACCCCCAGGGAGAGTAGCCTGTAAACATCTCACTCCCACTGGGAGTGCTTCTCTCCAGAAGCAGACCCTGTGCTGCCTTCTGCATTGGTGCCCCTCCTTACTAATCTGCTCTCGATAGTTCTAGGAATGTCCTGTAGCAGCATAGCATGTCCCAAAGGATCTAACCCATCTGCAGATCTGGTGCCCAAAGGGAGAAGTTGGACAATGCTGAGGGCAGCTGATCTGCACAATGGCCACTCTCAAGGCTCAGAAGTTCCAGAGGGATCCTCAGGAATCTGCCCAGATGTCCCCAATGCCACGTCAGGGTCTCAGGCTCACCCCTGGGCCCTGGCCTTAGTGTAAGAGGCTGGCCTTGGCTGGGAGCTCAGCCTTCTTTACTGTCTGGTCTCTCCACCTGGTTCCTCCACATGGGTTCACCTCTGCTGCCTCCTGAGTCAGGAGGCAGCCATGCACAGCACAGGCCCAGTATTCAGTGTCTTGTTTCTCATCCCGTTCTTCCTTGCAAAGCAAAATGGGGGCTTCCTTGGTCAGCAGATCCCTGTCCTTTCACCCAGAGTAGCCTCCAGGGTCAAATCAAGGCAGTGACTCCCCACTGCAGCCATCCCCTGTCTGAAATACACAGAAGCCAGGAGACAGTTGGAGGCTACCTGCAAGGAAGACTTGGGGCCTCAGGCATCTCTGCCCCAGCCTGCAGGGCACACCTGTCCTGAGATCTCCCCAGCACAAACCAGGCACAGCAACCAGTTCTGGACTCTCAGCCACAGCCCAATTGTATATACTTAAGTCCCCAACACCCAGGCCCAAGTCCTGGAGACCCCTGCTTTGGAACACCTTGTTTTCCCCTGTTCCCCACTTAAATCTATAGTGTGTCCCAAAAAGTTTCTGTTCCTTTAAGCGTGTGCACGTGTGTGTGCGCGCGTGCATGTGTGTGCGTGCGTGCGTGTGTGTGCGTGTGTGCGTGTGTGTGCGCGTACATGTGTGCGCGCGTGTGTGCGTGCGCTGTGTGTGTGTGCACGCGCCTGTGTGTGCGCGTGTGCGTGTGTATGTGTGCGCGTGTGCGTGCGTGTGTGCGCGCGCGCGTGTGTGCGCGTGCGTGCACGTGCGTGCATGTGCGTGCGTGTGTGTGCGTGTGTGCGCGCGTGCGTGTGTGTGCGTGTGTCTGTGCGCATGTGTGTGTGCGCGTGTGTGCGCGTGTGTGTACGCGCGCGTGCGTGTGTGTGTGCGCGCGTGCGTGCGTGTGCGTGCGCGTGCGTGTGTGTGCGCGCGTGCATGTGTGTGTGTGCGTGTGCGCATGTGTGTTTTGCTGGGATGAAACCTAGAGTCTTGCACATGTTGGCCAAGTGCTCCACCACTGAGCTGCAGCTCCGGTCCCTTAAAGTCATTTTTAAAAGTCTCCTTTCTGTAGTTAGAATGCTGGTCCTTTGTGATAGCTCAAACTGGCTTTGCAGTGGGCATGAGAGGTATGGTTCACAATGAGTTACTTGAGCATCAAGGACAGGTAAGGGTTGAGGTCTCACCTGATTATAAGTGCTGCAGTCCATTTTCTCTGGGCTCCATGACCCTTCCTCATTGGGACCCTTAGACACCCCTCACCCTCAGGGATCCATGATCTGTTGACCCTCCTCACAGACCCTGAGAATCCTGAGGTCCACCTCCCCGCCAACCATGTCAACTCCTTATAAAATCTGCTTGTGAGGGAGGAAGGGAAGAGGTGGGGGGGGACATTTTGGAGGACTGGAGGGGACACTTGGGGGGCAGGGTGTTAGCCTAGGGGCAGAAGGCAGGATCTGGTTGGCCTTTCTGCAAGGGCTGTGGCCAAGTTCTGGCCTCTCAGGGCTGTTTCCTGGGCAGGTAGTGGTCATTAGCTTTAAGATTTGTGTGCAGACACTAGTAGGATACCCTGCACACTAATAATTCTAGCAGAAACTGTCACTGTCATTGGCTCGTCTTCAATGAACCCCTGGCAGCAGGACGTGAGGGTGTAAAGGAAGGTGGCATTCTCTGACCTGGGATCCTCAGATGACCTACTTTCCTCCAACTCCAACAGGCGTCCTTGGTCCTTGGCTGCAGCGGACCACAGGCTCTGCATGGCCCCCCTCAAGCCAGCTTCCCCGCAGTGGAGAAGGAAGGGTTAAGCATCTGTGGTGGGGTGAGGGCCTCTGCGAATGACTGGGGCAGGCCTGGGGGCAGCTGCAGGCGGGCAGCCGCCCAGACTTCCCGGACACGCCTGGCGCCTCCATGGAGCCACCAGCGGCCTCCGGGGACGTTGCCCGGCTGCCTGGGGACAGCTCCACTCTTGCACCAGTGGCCCCCTCCTGTCATCGCCCCCTAACCCTTCTCTCTTGGGTCTGTCAACTGCAGTGACAGGGCTGTTGTCTGTTGTCTCCACTCAATGCCTGGACAGCACCCATCAGAAGGTGGCAGGGGCACTTCTGCAGGGCTGAATCTGTCTGATCCCGTGACCAGTCAGGGGATCGCCTGCCTGGTCACATGGAGCTGGCAGTTGGAGGCCTGGGGTGACTGGTTGCACCTGAGAGTCTAGGACATGTTTACTACAAGGGGCTGAGTCTACTTAACTTTCCAAATCCCAGGAACCTCACAGGCCAGGAGCAAATGAGGACTTGCTCCCTGGGCAACCTGTGACTTCAAGTTACTTCCTGCTGAACCCCTTGACTGTCCACTGTAGCTGGGACCTTGGAGGCAAGGGGCAGGCCACGCCCCATGCCCACTGACCAAGGGGCAGGTTCCCTAACAGAACACCTAGAAAATGTTCCAGTCTCTACAGGTTAAGTGTGGATGAGCTGGAGAGATGAACTCTTGTCAAAAACCCAGATTTGTGGAGAAGCTGTTGCAAAAGAAACATCTGTGAAAACTGTGGTAATGTTCAGACACACACCTGCCTGTCCCCCATCCTCCCACCATGTGGGGCCCTCTGGACCTCCATCCTAGGCAGGATTTGGGGGACAGTCACCTTCCCAGCCTCGGCCTTGCCTCATGCTCCTCTCGGGAACTGGGGCAGGGAGGACTGGTCTGTGTCCTCTCCCCCACCCCTATGGCCTGACCAACCACCCAACCACTCTGCTGGGGTTACCTCCTCTTCCCCCTCCTGAACTGTCCTCTCCATAAAAAGCCGGAGCCTCTCCTAGCCTCCCTTTTCAGTGGGGGAGGCAGCAAGGTGATCGCTTGCCTCCACTCCCTCATCTATCACCCTGAACTGTTTCATGATAAAATTACTCATCCTCAGCCAGTGATAAATGAAATGTCTTGAAACAACCACACAGAGCGGAGGTGAGGGCTTTGCATTCAGGGTTTCCAGGCCCAGATGAAGGAAACTCAGGTGAACTGTCTGTGATAATGCAACATGGCCAGGCCACATTGGTGGATCTGTGTACATCTGATGTACACCTTTGTTGGTATGCATGTGCTTATCAGGAGGACTATAGACCAAACCTGGAAGAGAGACCATGTGGGATATGGGGTGTGGATGTGGTAACCAGGGAGGTGCTACACAGGCTGCAAAGTGAACAAGCTACATCCCCAGGCAGGAAGTAGAGGAACCAGAAAAGTAGGACAGGCCCTGCTGTTCAGAAAGGGAAGCAGGCCACTCTTGGGAACACAGGTGGTAGGTGACTGGTGTCTGCAGGTAAGAGGCAGAACAGCCCTGGCCCTCCACCTAGAGCCTCTGGAACTGAAGGGGTCCAGAGATCAGGCAACCCTTGGGCCCTGCATAGCCAGGCAACATGACAGTGCCCAGTGGTCCCTGTGGGTCCTGGATCCCCTGCTTCTGCTTTCAGACAAGGAATTCGACCAAGGTCAACGGAGTGCCAGTTGGCCTAGAACACCAATAAGACCCCTTTGGAGCTCACAGCCAATTAGGAAGATGGTATTCCTGTGAGAGCTGGAGCATCAAGTTCTGGAAATGCTCAGAAACTCAAGGAACAGTATTCATTCTGATTGGGGGTCCAGGAAGGCTTCTGGGATGACAGCACTGTGTGTGGCACACGGCGGCTCAGCAATGGTTGAAAAAAATCTGTGAGGAATAATGGGCTTGCATTCACTCATAGGCAGCAGGGACAGGAAATGACAGATATGAGGCCTTTAGGAAACAGAAGCCCATGAGGGTTGCCCATCCTGCCAGAAAGAGGGAGATACTTATGGAAGCTGAAGGTTCCTCTGACAGGCACAGAGGGGAAGCCTAGATGCAGGTCCACTGAACTGTGCTGCTTCTACCTTTGAGGACAGTGCCTAGTAGAGAGGGATCCCTGAGAGCAACGCTGGACTTCAAACTCCCCTGTGGGTGGCTGGAGGTAACACTCCAAGTGGACCTCCAACTTAGAATTTCCAGGACCCTGCTGCTGGTTGGATTGAGGATGGGAGGCTTGCTTTTCTTTTGCTTTTTGCTTTTTTTTTTTTTTTCCTGTGCTGGGAATGAAACCCATGGCCTCATACATGCTAGGCAAGTGCTCTACCACTGAGCTGTATCCTAGCTCAAGCAGTGGCAGTTTGAACTGGGTCCTTTTCCCTGGAATCTCTGGGGAAGAATCTAACCTGTATCCCTAGTACCTTTGGATACAACTTGCCCCTCAAACAGAAGAAACAAGCTGGAACCCAAGTGTCTCACACCGTCTTCCACTGCCTGCCTCTGTCCCTGCCATCCTTCCTTAGGACACCCCATTCCTTACCCCCCTGCCTGTCCATCTGCACAGTTGAGTGCCAAGGCCTGAGTCAGCCTGCATGTCAGATGTCAACCTCATTCCAGACCATGCTTCCCACTGTCCCTCCACCAGAGGACCAATCCAGAAAACCCCAGTCTCCCAGTGCCAGCAGCACCCTGTCCTGTACATGGTGGACAGTATCAGCAGAAACTGAGATCATCTGTTTCAGACAACATCCAAATACCAGCAGCTCTTCCGGGTCTCATGTGAACACATCAGCAGCCATGTGGCTTTGTGTGGCACAAGTGTGCTCATACCCCTGCAGCCTGCAGAGCCCACTTCCAGGGAAAAACAGATCCAGCATCCCCAGGCTTCAATCTTCTCTGGGAGCATTTCCAAAATTTTCCTCTCACAATGGGGCACTGGTGATGAGCCCTCCCCCAAGAGGTTCAGACCTGGTCCAGGACCCACGGGCATATGCTGCACCAGATGTGGTGTAGATTCACCCACAATTACAGATGCTGTGCTGAGGCCCACATGCCTAGTCCTGCAGTAAATCTGCCACTACCCTGGGCATTGGGGTCGGCCTGAGGTTCTGGAAGTAGGAGGTGACCAGGATGGAGTGCGGCAGTCTGTGGCACTGAGGCCCCTGACCATAGAGCCGCTCTGACCCTCTCCCCGGGCAAGGTTTGGGAGGTTGCACCCTAACCAAGAGCTCCCACAGAGGCAGGTGGACAGACAATGGGCTAAAGGTCTTCTGTTCCACAGGCTGCGAGGTCCATGGGGGGTTGACTATTCAGTGCATCCTAGGGAAAGGACTTGCACAAAGCTCCTTTGTGCCAGGCTTCCAGTGCAGAGTGACAATGTGAGCATATTTCTGGAGACATTCAGACAACATGGAGCAGTCAGATTCACCCTCCAAAAGAAATATCTGGTGAGGAGGGACAGGAAGACTCGAGAGGTACAGCAATCAAGGTGGGCCCTACTCATGAGTCTCTAGGCTGTGGTGCAGGAGGGGGACCCAGGTAAATTTGGGGATCTCCCTAGAGGAGGAGGCCAGAGCTGGGAGCCAAGGGAAGCCAGGCAGAGGGTGAGACCTGCAGGCAGCTGAACTTAGTTGAAGTGTGCCATACTGACAGGCCAGGAGAGAACTATCAGTGAGGACAAAGAGAGCCCTGTGCAGAGATCATGCAGCTGGAACTGTGCAGGGGCCACACAGGGCCACAGTGAGGCAGGATAGTCAGCCCTAGAGTAAATGCTGTTCTGGCCTCCCAACAAGGCTTCTGAGCAAGACCTGACAGAACCAAATGGCTCCCAAGTGACTTCATGGTGTCTAGAACAAAAATAGCACAAGATCCAGTGCCCCTGTCACCCAATCATGACTCACCAGGTACACAAGATAGTAGGAAATCACAACCCAAAAGGAGAATGGCAATCAGTCAATTGACGGTGGCACAGAAATGACATGCCTGATAGGATGCATGTCACATCACTCATTGCAACTACATCCAGATGTTCAGGATGTGAGGGCAGATGGGATGTGGCAAGTGTGGACATTCTGGAGCAGTGCTGTGGGGAGGTGGCAGGCCACGGATGCAGTGAGCCATCTCCATTCCTGTGCATGTCTGGGATACCTGCATATGGTAGATGCCCACTGAGCACTGATTTTTCCTCCCTTAATTCTCACTCCCATTTTACAGCTTGAACAGAGAGGTTAAAGTCTTCCCAAAGTCACACATCCAGGAAGTGGTGGAAGGAGAGTCCTGGGCACACAGCCTCCAGCTTTCTGGGCAACAGGCCTCTCTACTCACAAGCATCGCCATTCTCACAGATGCAAGGCAGTGCTGGGGTCACTCCTACCCCCAGGAAGTGAAGACTGAGACTAGGAGGCACATCAAAGAATTTGTGTCCAGTAACTTTCTCTGGCAGGAGGCAGATGTCAGTGCACCCCTCCCACTGCCCACCCCACCCCATTTCTTTCCACATCCCCTCTCAGCTTCCCAGACTGATCTCAGTATTGCCTTACTCAGTCTGGGGGTGGAGACACGTACCTGCCCTGGGCAGGCTGGGAACCATGGCGGTGGGAGGGAACAACACTTACCTCTGTCATGACCTAAGGTTGGAGTTCTCTGGTCTGTAGTCTTTGAATTCAGACCCCAACTCCATCTGCCTCAGAAGCTCCACCTGAGGGTATAGATGAAAAACCAGGGAGCACAGTCCTCAAAACCCCAGAAGTCTCCCACTGCTCCACCTGGACCCACCCTCCAGCTCAAGCACTAGAGCCTCCAAGGGTGCCAACTCCATGCAGGATCTCTGCATGCAGCAGACCAGAAGCTGGCACAGGGAGATGGTGAGGTCATTTCTGCAGGTGTGCCTGACAGGACTTTCATTCCCTGGTCAGGGGCTGGGAAGGGGCCTGTAGGCCTCTGTAGGT